TACAATTTTAGACGATGTGCTTGACGTTGTACTTTAATACCTTCAAATTGCAGGAAGGGAATAAACTAGTATTTAATTTTAACTTGATATCCTAGATAATGGAAAAGATCGTAGGCAATGGTGATAATGATGAAAATTGTGACGTTACAGTAGTAAAATTTAAAGATTAATTCTGTGACGATGCCGCTACTCTCTAAACACTTGTAGATACAGTTTTAATCTAAGGGCACGCCCCTTAGATCATTATTAATTTAAAATGTCAACTAAACATTCTGTCAAATCTGTCTAACAATTGAACCTGATTATAATTACACGGCGAGTCTATTACTTTGGCTTGTTTTTGATTGGAGTTAAATATTGAGGAAAGTTTATTGAATTCTTAAGAGAGTCTGGCAGTCTCGCTATCTACCTGAAAACTCGTAGTTGTATGATACATATAACTCTATTTTATGTTATTGAGCATGTACGTAGATATAACCCATGAGGTGAGGCTTTGTGTTTTAAAACGCAAAGTTATTTAGGTTATCAAAAACATAAATTAAAAATTTTGCATATAATTTTTTGCATACATGGGATCGATGGGGACTTTTCAAAATTTTATTATAGTAGTATCCCTAACGATCATACAAAAAATCAGCTTCTTGGGAATTTATGAAAGGGTGAATGTCTAATTTGACCGTACCATAAAGTGTCTTATCACTGTTAACTGTGGAAGGTTAGGCTGGGGTCTAAATGTGAGCCACTGGTCCTTAATACGTGTGTTATTAATATTTTTAAAATTTATTTTATGCTCAAAAGTTTGCTGTTGTCATGTGTCATGACATAAAACGAATACAAATACATCAATTTTACGCATGATAATGTTAAGTTTCGGCCTTACTGACCCTATAGAAAATGACGTTATCTATATTTCTATCATTATATTTACCATTAAAGTTCCAAAGAAATTTGTAAAACACAACAAAAAAAATAAACAAAATAAAATTAACAAATTATGGAGTGCGTTAAATAATAATCGCCTTGATAAGAGTTGGTTAGACATATTACCTACTCTTATGATATAAATTTCAAATAGAATATATGTGATTTCATCAATGCAAAATTTTCAGTATGAAATAAAACAAATTTCATACGGAATAAAGAAGAGCAAGAGGCGAGCCTACTCTGTTTGAATTGTCTAATCATATGTTATTTATCCATGCAGCATACATGTGTAAAGTGTAAGCAATACGCTATACACATTAAGATTTAAATATTATGAGAAGAGTATGATGAGAATATTTTGCTAAAGTAGTATTGGTTTTACCATTCACAACAAAAGCCTTTAGAAATTTGACTATAAACTTATACTTAGTTAGTTTCTCAAACTCTCTTCTTTTGTAAATTATTTTATAAATATTGGATATTGTGAAATATTGTAGGAAAAAACCTTCCGATCTGTAGATGCAGCTGAATGTTTTTAACTGTGATGTCAAGAGGTGCTTGTTCGGTTCTTAGATAGTCTATATTTACTAACATATCTTCTTTACTCACAGCACAATATACACATATTTATTACACTTACTAAATTCATAGCACTCAAAGCGAGCTACGTTCTTTTAACTCTTGGAAAAAAAAATAGGTTGGTCTTAGTTTGTTTCTAGATAACCCTCTGTTTCTAGATAAAACTCTAAAAAATTTGCTTCAAAGTCTATCAAAAACTTTGTCGAACACAGCACCATGCAAGACAAGCCAAGTGGAATTCGAGATCGTTCAAACAAAGAACAATAAAACTAAATAGTGTTAGAATTGGCTGTGAGCTGTCAAAGTTGTAGGGCGCTGTTGCCAACACATGGGGAAGTCGTCATCGAAAGCAGTTGTTCACTATCGTTAGTGGCAACCTGGACACTTGGCAACATACCCCGCTTTACGAGATGCGACAGTGCAAAGTGGTTACATGTTGAAGTAGTAAAGGAATACATCGCGTTGAAACACTTAAAGTTATGTATGACTAGAGAAGGCTTATGGCGGGAACTGTTTTGTATCGAACTTAAGTAAGTATGTTTGATAAACCAGTTGCAGTATGTTATAAAATTTGAAAATATTTGTTTCTTATTTTTATGATTTAGGGATGCAAACGAACAGACGAGTCATCTGATGGTAAGTGACTACCGCCGCACATGCGTACCTGAACCTCAAGAGTTTCAAGTATTGAGTCAATTTCTCCAGAATTTGGTAGAAAGGGGAGTTTGGGCTCTGGTAACCTTACTCACTCGCTGATAAGTCACGGAAGAATTGCTTAACCAGAGTTTCCTGTGAGCCCGTGGTATCACTCCGTTCAAGCCTACCCATTTGTGCCAAAGCATGGTTCTCTCATAGTACATCATCGTCATCATAATCATCAACAGCCTTTAATAGTTCACTGCTAAACATCTCATCTTAGAAAGAAGGTTTACGGTATATATTTAATTTCTTCACGTATGACATTATTTCACTAGTTAGGTTACTATTATTCTGTGTCGAAAGTCTGATTTGGTAGAAAGTTGTCGGGTAATACCTTGCCTGGAAGTAATGATCATTAAATGTTCCATGATAGTGTTAGTGTTAAAGTTACATATCTTCTTTAAAAAGCACTTCAAGTTATTTTTGTCATAAGTAGTTTCGTAAAGACAAATAAATAAGGCCAGTATAAAAGAAGTATTTACATCAATATTTAATTTAATCCAACACATTGGGGAGAAACATTAGTGCGGTCTAATAATCCAATTTAAAACCTGTAGTTCAATGTGTAATATATTCATACCTTTACACAAACGCACTTAGTTTAAAAAAATATGTTAACCTTTATATGAACCAAGAAAAAAAAAAATTTTTTTCACAAAATTTCAATTCCGTGCGTCGCGGCCTATAAAAGCCGCGCGCGGTTTGTCGCGTGCAGCTTACGCGCTCATCTTATGCGATAATAGTCAGACTTAGATTCGGACTCAGACTTGACGCAGACTTAGGAAACGTCGCCATCGCCATATACATATTTTCATACTCTGACTATTGGCACATCAGCACCGCGTGTCAACTGCAAGTGATCAATCGCGACTATATCGATCAATGACTATAATTGGACTAAACTAAGGTTGCCAGGCAGAGATTGCTCTTAGCAATAAGGCCGCCCTTTGTACATTACACGTCTGAAATTTTTATGTACCATAGTACCTGTAAAATGTGTGCAAATAAAGAGTTATCTATCTATCTATAATTGGCCGCGATGCACGGTAATGAACCTTAAGAAAATCAAATAAAATGTTCTGAACCAAAAGTGAAACCTTGCACATCACGATAGCATTAAGCACAAACTCATTATACAAACTAACGGCTAACAACCTCATTGGGTTAGAGACCTTAAACGATAAATAATATGATGATATGACTTCAGCTGTTGCCAAAAGTTTAATATTTATATTAATTTGTAAGTCCTATTATACTTTTAAACTTATTTAAAATTAGCTTTTGACTTCGGCGTTGCTGGCGTAAGTGTAATTTTCTCGGTAAGTTTTTCCCTTGATGAACAGTAGGCAGTATTATATGTATAAAAAGTTTATGATAATATAAGTATATCAGCGTACACAATAATAAAACCCTTTCTTTTCAATTTATATGATTTTCTTTTGTGTGTGTGTCTGTTATATTTGTAAACCATTTTTTTTTAAATTATATTGTTATCTTGTGACTATAGAAAAAAAAAGTCACTGATAATATTAATTTCTCAGATATAATCTCAGATAATATTTGTTGTTTTGTTTTTTCGGAGTTAGGAATTAAGAAACTTCAAACATGTACATTGAACTGTTTGGATATGTTTATACATAATAATAATATGTATTGTCCACAGGCATAAGACATAATACTAATATTTGTAGATCTTTAAAATTATTTATCTTATATATTACCTACTTCAAATTTAGCCCTTAAACTAGCTTTCGGCTTTTTGACTGAAAAATCTGAAAACAGAACATTTATTTGCCAAACTTTTCCCAAGAAAGTAATTTCGAAAAAAAATGCAATTTATTCGTTCCATTATGTTTCAAGAATATCTTATCGCGAAACCTATAATTCAAACATTTTAATATTCAACAAATTGGTCGCGCGGTGTTACTAGCGTGAGTGTAATTTTATTCAAACTTCCGTAGTATTGCCCTAATGACCGCACTCACTATTTCATTAACCAAGGTTCACGTGGAGAAGTTACAGAATGTAAAAGTTCAAGAAAACCCACGTTCGAGCTGTTTGACACAAACACTAATGCATTTTAAAGTGGGCACAATCAAAGAGCGTGTGCATACAATAGCTTTAGGGTGCATTCACATTTAAGTGGTGAAGTGTCTTGAAAAGATACATATTATGGTTCAACATTTTGAAGAGAAATTCCTAATCTAAAGCCATGCAATAATTATATTAACTTAATTGGATATGTGAGGTTAATGTATCAGGAAATGTAAATCTATAAAAAGGTTACTAAATTTATTTATTTATTTTATTATAAATAAATAATAGTTCACGAATGCGTAAATCTGAGTGTGAACTTCCTAGAAAAATGAATATTTAAGAAAAAAGCAAAATGAGTTTGTGAAGTTGTATTCAGTAAAAATAAAAAAATGTTAGTGTATAACAAAAGCAATTGTTAAAAAAACGGTTGTCTACGATTTTATTACGCACACTACTTTTTTATTAGGTACAATGTTAAAGATGTTGTAGCTAGATCATCTTTAACATTATTTGTAATAAAATACTTTTGTAAAACAAGCCAAACTATTCAATATAAAGATATTTACAGTCTCTTAATAAGCGAATATGAGTGGATACGAAAAATATCAAGGTTAACTCATGGTAAGTCGCAAGGATCGAAATTTTGCGTGATCGAAATCCTTACGTTCTTTCTGTCAACTTCGACCTAAAGTGTCATAAAACATTTGAAATTATTACGGTAACAGTAAAGTGAACGTGCAAAATCAGCGGTGGGTGACTATTCATGTGGCGTGCAGTTCGATCGTGGCGAAGCAAGGCGCGGAGGAAACGTCAGAAAAATCGAATTTCCATGCCGGCAGTCGAGGCTGAGGCGGCGCGGCGCTAACACCGCGCACACAGCGCCCGCGCGCGCTCTTCAGTGTTGCTCTCTCCGCGCCGAACGCACCTACGCGTTTCAAAATACGCGCCACCATCGCCCGCGCGTGCTGGACCAACCAAACAGTGCAGTGTCATACAAACTCGAATCTTAAATGGTACACGGCAGGCTAATTAAGGAATTATGGGTTCGGCACGGGTTGTCCCGATCGTGGGTCACTTTATCGCCCAACCACATAAATTCTAGCTCGTTTCTTTATTCATTAAAAGGTGACGTCACTCTGGCGGTCGATTTTCGTGTAATCGGTACAAATTCGCGATTGTGTTTTTGGATAATAAAAGTTGTAGATCGCTTAATTGCGCCAAATTGTTGCATTGTCTCATGTTGTTTTTAAGTGATGGTATATAGAGGGCGTATGGTACAGGATTATGGCCTTCGATATTTATTGATTAATAAATATACCGTTCGATTTAAAAAAAAGAAAGCTTTTTTTTCTATGTTTAGTAGGTAATTGTTGAAGCTTTGACAAGTGTGATAAACGGTTTGTATTTGTTTCTATACTATAGCATTTTAAGTCTTTAAACTCATTATATTATTACTAGACAACTTTTCATTCTTCCTTTTTTTTCTATCGTGTGTTATGCATAATTTACTTGGCAATTTAAAACTTTTCAATTACTTTCTACAACTTACAATCTATATCCAAAATTATTTCTGAAAAGTTGAAAACTCTTTCAAACAAACATTCCACAAAGTAAAGGTTCCCGACTGGAAAGCGGTAAATATTTTTTTTAAATTTAAATAACTAAATATGTTGATTTAGATATTGTTTTGTTTAAAGCACTAAAATATGTAAATTAGTATATAACAGATATCTAAGTGATTGTGAGTGACTTCTAAATCCACCAATTTTACAGTAGCATGTATTCTATTTCTTAATTTATTCATTTCATTCATTATTTCTTCTATTCTAACATTCAAAAACAAAAAAAGTCATAACTTATTGAAATAATGCAATTTTTAAAATGAAACTCCCATAGATCTCAATAAAGTACAAAGCTGTGCGGCTTGATTGCAGTTTCGCTAATCGATTTCAGTTTGTGATTCCATTACTAGACATTACCTCTATGTAACATAATTACTCATAAATATCATTATCCTCGTATGATGGAAACTATCAGATGTAAAGCGGAAAACGCCGAAGTAACTATGTCGGAGTCTCGTCTCGGAGAGTCTAACATAGAAAAAAAAACAGTTGACAGGAACTAGAAATATCTGCCGCGTTTTTTGATTAGTGACCCATAACTGCTCTTCGTACACATCGCACCTTTAATCATAAACTGAATTAACTTAGAATTTCAATATTGTGGGAAATCGCATTTAAAGTTTGACATTCATGTACGTGCGAGTTCGTCAAAAAGAGAACGACGATCTCTTATCTCTGCCATTTTCATGGTATCGAGTCGGCTGTTGGATTGTTCGTGTTCTACTAATGAAGTTGATTTGGTATTTGTTGAAAACTCGAAAAACGTAAATTTTGAATTAATTCAGTTTATTATTACAGGTGCGACATACTATTATTGTGTATGACTTTGTTTATCAACTTCCAAGCGTAGGTGCCTAGGTATTTTTCTTTTATCACTGCAGCTGAAAAACACACAGGTATATAACTTTTATTTCAAATTACAATACTTTTTAGGTGCACTAAAACTCATTTTAATCTCTTTTTTCGTGTGGGCAAACTTCTCGAATCCCCTCACCGGACGACCAGGGGGTGGTTATGACGGATTCCAAAGAGCCAAAATCACACGCCGTCTTGGGTACCAGTAGCCGAAGAACCGGTTGGAACCAAAATGAAAATCCCTGATACCCCCCGTTTTATCCCTTAAGCATAACAAAACAATTATTCTTAAATCCCTCAGAAATTGTTGATTTTAGAGTAATGCAGGTTTCTGGTCAAACAGGATCCAAATCCTTATAAAAAACGTTTATTTTTAGAAGTTTGTTTAGAAAAACTGTACTTTACTCGCGACTTTATCCATCAGTTAGTATGCCTCGGAAAAGTTTTGTCTTGATAAAAGTACCATATGTAATCTTTTATACACACCAATTAGTACGAGAAGTTTTAATATAATCCATTAAATAGTGAAATTTGACAAATTATATACAGCATAGGATAGGCAATTCTAAATCCAATCGTTATCTAATCAAACAGGGTTTACGAGCCCGCTGGCATTTGGTTTTTCTTCCTCGAATTTTTGGGGGAGCACTCAGTCGCTATCTCTGATTCTGGCTTTTACCATATGATCAACCCCGTGGAAGTAAAAATATTTTTGAATATGTTTGAATACAAGAACGCGGCTCTTCGGTAAATAAAAAATGTCCAGATCCAGATCGAACTTGATCGAGCCATTACAAAATGAACAAGATTCTGTGAGGATAAAATATTATATGCGATAATGCAGTGGTAAATCTGGTCCAGAAACAGATCAGTACAAGGCATCTTAGGATGTCTCAACATTGATGTTTGATGTAGAAGAAAAAACGCACTGAATGGAAGCAACGTCAACAGACCGCTGCACCAGTGAGGTCGACAAATTTGGAGTTTTACTCGTATTTAAAACAAAACAAACGAACAAACATATGATAACTTCTAAATGCATGTATATAAGTATGTAACTGTGCCTCTATAAATAAATATATATCTAAAAGCCTTATACCGTTTCGACGTCTTTATTAAGATAAAGTAAATATACCGCTTTTTCCCCCGTTCGTCCGTTATACATGCTCAGTATATATCTGACTGTGCCAATGTTATTAAGTATATCTATTTGGTTATATTTATTATAATAGAGCCTTGTTTACCATAAAATAATTGTCAGAGATTCCTTTCAACGGTTTTGGCAAGGAATATACCGTCATCTACTATGTTATGTTCGGTACCCGATATTTTTTCAAAGAAAGGATACACTATTCTATTAGGTACATAACCTGTACAAATAGTTGTATTGTATGTCATAAAAAAAACAAAAAAGTATATACGTACGATTTTATATATAGGTACATATGGATGAATGATGATGTATTTATTTATTGAGTAAAAAATACGTCAGAGGTTTTGCGAATGTTATGAGTTAATCGTTGTCATGGTCAGGTTATCTATTAGAAGCAAGTACCTATTAGTGTAGTTGTTGCAACTTATTATGGCAGACTATTAAAAATAGTAGGATTGTAATAAAAATATATCATTTTGTTTGTAGAATATAAAAAATGAGATATTATTTATTTCTTGATAATATAAACTATAACATTTATTTAAAAACTAAAGTAGCCAACTAAAAAACCGTCATGCTGACTGAGACAGAATTCGATTACTTCGTCTCGATTTCTCTATGGATATTATTTCTCTATATATTATAAACTGAGAGAATTATTTGTAATCCTCTTTAAGAAAATTTCACGATCAGAGTATATGCCATTAGAAATTTTATCTTTACACAGTACTTTGAAATAATAAGCTTTAATAATTATTCATTTATTTATTATTAATAGTTTAATTAATAGTTGTATATTTCAAAGAACTAAAAAGTAAAAAAAGTAAAGATAAAATTTATAAATAATTAAAGAAATCTTCAAGAAAAAAGCGTACTCTTGAGGTTTTCTAGCTGTCTATGACGGTTTGCTCTTTACTTCCTACACAATGAAAATATGTCAAAACTTAAAAGACATAAATAATCAACGCGTCCTGCGTATATGGGCTGACAAAAGGACAAGATCCTAAAAAAAAACGGATGCTAATTATACATATATACTCATATATATACTATACATATAGACATACTCATGCACCCATCATTCAATTGGTTGTTTAAGATCCATATATATATACAGGGTGGCGCAATAGAACGTGCATATTTAAAATATTGATTAGAAAATAAATACAAAAGGTATAGTTAAAATAAAACTGAGGTATTATTAAGAAATAACTGAAGTTTATTTTTTAAAAATAACATCGTCTAAATGATGACCCTCTCTACGACGACACTCCTCTAATCGCAAACGGAAGTTATTGAAAACTTTCTTCAGTAATGCTGGTGTAATTGCTGCCATTTCACCACGGATATTCTCCTTGAGCTGATCGTTGTTTTTCGGATTATTACTGTAGACTTTGTTCTTGAGGTATCCCCACAAAAAAAAGTCAGGAGGCGTCACGTCTGGACTACGTGGGGGCCATGGGATATCACCTCTTTTCGAAATCAGTCTGCCAGGGAACATCTGTTTCACAACCGCCATGGAGTCATTTGATGTGTGACAGGTAGCTCCGTCTTGTTGAAACCAAGTCCTAGAATTCACTATTCTTGAATTTTCAAGCTCTGGAGCCAAAAAACCTTCCAACATCGCAACATAGCGTTCGGTATTAACAGTGACGTTTTGCCCCCGCGCATTTTCAAAGAAAAACGGTCCAATTATTCCTCTACCAGAGATTGCTGCCCATACTGTCACTTTAGGACTATGCAGTGGTTTCTGGTGCTTGAGTTTGGGATTCTCACTGTTCCAGTAACGACAATTTTGACGGTTTACGAACCCATTGATATGGAAGTGGGCCTCATCTGAGAAAAGGATATTGTCAAAATTGGAAAATCGATTAAGCATTTCATTAGCAAATGCGAGCCTTGCTCCGAAGTCAGACTCTTTCAATTCTTGTGTTAACTGCAGCTTGTAAGGATGCAGTTTAAGATCCAAGTTTAAAATTCGTTGCAAACTTCGTCGCGATAAGTGTAAGACAGACGATCTCTTACGAGTAGACATTTGTGGATCTCCTCGTACAGACTGCATAACTCTCTCAATATTGTCGTCGGTCCTAGATGTTCTTGGACAACCTTTTGCTTGTGGTTTAAACGTTGAACCAGTCTCTTCAAAACGCTGTACCCATATTTTAATTAAATTAGCACTCGGAGCTTTACTAATTTGCCGTAGTCCATATTCAGAACAATATAAACGCCTAGTAACGATGTATGAACGAGAGTTCTCGTAAAATGCGCGCACGCAAAATGCGCGACGCTTCCCGTCGAAGTGACTCATAGTGACTAAAACTCCATGAGCCCGCCTACCCAACGATGCAGGCTCCCCCTGCCCGCGCACTTTCTACCCCGCGAAAAAAGATGATGCAATATGCACGTTCTATTGCGCCACCCTGTATATATATATATATATCTATATATATATATTCCTTCCAAATAATAAATATTTATTAATATTGTAATTAAAAGAATCAAGCAAAATGCCAATTTGAATTTTGAACCCTATAGTATAGGGAAGAACTATTCAATATAGTTAAAATAGTAATACAGTAAGTCAGAAAGTACAATGCACCTAGCATTTAACGAAGAATAATGATATACTCCATTACTGTAAAAGTACATATTAATCATAGGGCACTGTTGTATGTGGATTTGTGATACGCCCTGTGTAACCCGGTCGTAATTAAAAAAAGTATCAAACAGTTTCGTTACTACGGGCAATATCAGATTAAATGCACGATTGGAATGCACGAATGTAATAAAACTAAAATTCCCTGAAATGTTTTTATACAAACCGTTCAAAGTTCTACGAATACGTATGCTACGCTACTCTACAAGTGCTACGAGGCACTACGCTCACATGAATATTTTTGTAATCATGTATGAAGTGTTTGCTGTTAGGTGCATTACGGTGGATGAAAATCAAAAGATAATAAAGAGTCAAATGATAAAGTAGATAAAACTTTTAATTATTGATTTCATAGGCATAATTGATAAATTGTTGCATATATAATTGTTGTATATATATATATATATAACTGTTAGAAAGGCTTTATTTTCTACACTTTCCAAATCTTTAGAGAGTTTAGAAAATAAAGTTTTTATAATAATTATTCTCTACGGGTGTGTTAGTTTTCTCTTATTATTTATGTTGCAAATAAACTTCGACAGAAAATATATTATACTTTAATCTAAATTTACATACTATAAGATCATGCCTTAGTAAATATAACTAATAAACTAGGGTAACACTTTACTTGCACAAGTCTTTGCAGTTTATTGGTAGTACGGAAGCGACGAAGTATCACGTCTTGTGGCTAGGCATTACTTTAACACCTGGTGTTAGTAAAAGTTTCGAATTTCGAATATGCACACCTTGTCGTACGACTCTAGGAGCTCTGAGAGTAAAGCTCATACTGCATCTTTTGGCTCATGAACTTCAAAAGGTCTTCTGCCTGAGAGATGTACACTAGGGTTACACAATGATGATGTGTTGTAACGTGTTGGTCTATGAAAATTCAGTACATCTTTTTGTATCTCATATATGGCTAAGTTAAATTTACTTTTTGTATTTTATCGTGTTATTTTATCAATTTACTCTTGTTTTATCGCACGATATTGTAGGAGAACTGTTTTCTATATGAATAACTAGCATTTGGCCACTCAATAGTCAGCTGAGTTTTGTTCAGTTAGCAATTCTGTTATTACTCGTATTCGGCAAAAATAGTAGTAGTTAGTAGCAGTAGTAGTTTTCCGAAAGATAGGAATCCTGTGTTCTTTGTACTACTGTGTTTTACTAATACTTTTCTTCTATATATAAGTACATGTTTTAAGTACTTCATATTTTAATTAAAACTGACAAAAAACTCATTTTCTGTACCAATAAATAATTGATTTTGAATATAGTGTGATTCTCACAGTTTTAGAATTAGTTTTCATCTGTCTTTATTGTATTACTAATACTTTATAAATATGTTGTTAATAATCTCGTTACATAATCCATTAGCTTGAAGTGACATCAATTCAAGTAATGAGATTATTGGATTCGTGTTAATTGAACGTTAACTAATAGCGTTGATGTTCGAAACGTTAGGTGACTTTATCAGTTAGTTTAAGTGAGTTAACACTATCAGTGTTGCCAACATTAAACCCAATAAAATAAATAAGCAAGGAAAAGTAGGACACAAAAGATTCTGCTCAATATAGAGGTGCATATCTATTTTATATGGCGTGTTATATTGCCAAATTTAGTTTGAAAAAATAGGAAAATGTAATATTTTAAATACAATTGATTTAAATTTTTGAACCAAAAAGTATTTTTGAACTTTTTTCAAGGCAAACGATTGCAGGCCTAATTTCAATACTGACTGAGATCATGCTCTTCAAAACATTCTTGACTACACTTTTACATAAATTACAAATACACATAAATATGAAAGTGTTTTTCAAAAAACTGCTTTTCCTTATTGTGAATAGGTTCTACTACCTCTCGCTTTCTTTTCCTTTTTTCTTTTCTTTTTAAAAAGACAACACCCGCTTTAGGAATATATCCTGTGTCCAACCGACTCAGAACAACAATTTGTGGATCACACAAAGTGTCGTCCTATGTGGGGATCGGACCCACAATAGTCAGCGTAGTAGGAAGCGTGGCGACCGCTTAAACCATTTCGCCATCCGTGCAGCTCAGTGCAGCTTAACAATCAGCAACGAAAAATAAAGTATCGTCTATAAAGTTAAATGAATTTAAGTTTCCATAACGTTGAAACTGCTCTCCAAGCACACACATAATATTTGCACTGTGATTATCTTTCATACGTTGGAAATATTACCCATGGGAATGTGTTAACATAAAAAAAGATAGCTTTTCATATAAGTGGAGTCTAATCACACTGTCAGACAGTATGCCCTAAATAGTATTTTGGTCATAGAAACATTCAAACAACCTTTTCTAATGGTGGGTATATATTGACAGATGTTATTTTGTT